AACAACCCACAAATGATTTTGGATAAATTATTCATGACTATATTTGCAAATCTCTTTTTTAATTTTTGACTAGCTCTAGTAAACAAGAAATTCTTCATTTAAAAAAAGAAAACAAGTTGTATTCGCATAATCTATTCCCGAAACTCAGACAGCAGTGAAATGCCGTTTGGTCATTGGCCAAAGAGGCTTGCAATGTGTTGTAATTCTGCCCATCATCAAAGGTCTCACAGCTACATTGTTTTGCAACCCACAGACAGCTGATAACTTATGCATATGGGGACTGTTACTTCTTTAGGCATAAATGCTCTCCTTGGTGTACAGTTTTAATACAGAACCTGAGGGCTGAGATGGTTCATGGGAGCTGGTGTGATGGCAATTGGAGTTGATCCTGTCTCACAAGGAAGCTGAGTAGCTCCACAGCAGCTCCTATAGCCATAGGGTTGTAACACTCTTCTTACCCTTGCTAAAGGTGAATCTGTATAGTCTCACAACTACCCATCTAACTTCTTGGAAGCTCTCCCCTGTCTTTATGCACAAAGTCAGGAGATGCCTCTGAGAAGCACAGACTAGCCCTTCCATTGTAGATTATAAACCTCCATGTAGTTCTGGTTCTGAGCCATCCACACCACTTGGGGAAGTCAGGACTTGCCCCTGAGTTTTGCAGAGAAACAATATCAGAGCAATTATCAGTAATTATGTCAATGCCAATATATTGAGGTCACCCAATATCATTGCATCGATCCAAATTCGGCATCTATACATCCTGAAAAATCTATAATGAAATCGGAACAATGTTTTAAATAAGGCTTTATATGCACACACCCTTCCTTGATCCCTAATATCTGAGGACCAGTAAAGAACATCATTGCCAAAGCTAGTGGTCTGGGGGAGCAGCCAGTTGTGATAGCCTTAGAATGGGGGATTGGAATGGGCATGTCTTAAAAATGATCCTCCATGTCTATATAACTTCACTTTGTTTGGTTGTTTTGGCAGAATTTCTTCTAATGTCTTGCCTTTTGTTCTTTACTTTTTTTGACTGGAGCAGGAAAGAAAGCCTTCAAATGCCTAAATATCTATATAAACAGTATGGAAAGGAGAATTAGAAGCTGATATTCTTCTCAAATCCAAACCACTCGATACTCAGAAAAAAAAGATCCCAGATTCTAATTTTAAGAGTAATATGATCCCTGGCATGGATAGCCCAGAATAAATGCCTTGAAACAATTTTGCTGGGAAGAAAAGGAAAATCAACTTGAAACCAAAACGATAACTTACTGTCAGCATACCTCAAAGGAGAAAGTTTGTGAATACTAACTTCTCTGAAAACCAGTTTGAGATTGGTAAGTTTAAAGTCTTTAATTTTTCTAGGGTTTAATTTACTTTTGAATATGGAAGTAGGATTTCTCATACAAGCAAAGAAAACAACCTAAGTAAGAAAAGTTGGGAGGAGGACTGTCAATACTGTTGACAAAAACCAAATAAATTAGAAGCAAATATCTTTATTTATATCTTTATTAGTAAATATAATACAAGTATATTATATGGTATTTTCTGAAATAATATTTTTCTGTAATCTGCATAGACCATAGCCTAGTTAAATTTTAACTATAGACCGCTAATTTGATACGCTAATACTCTCTTTCATTTTGTTTGGGAAGAACTGGACATTAAGATAAATAAAAAAGTAGCAGGCTTTTTTAAGGAGGACCTTTTCCACCTTTAAAAATACCTTGTAGCCATTCTGAGTAGTGCTGATCTGGAAAGAAAACAGATTACATTGTTTGATAATAGAGGAAGGAAATATTATTATCACAGCTTGAAATCTGTTAACAGGGCTTTCCAAATGGGGCAAACATTGAAGTCAAATACAAACTCAATTACAAGAAGATTTTCAACTTGTCAAAAATAATTGCATTAATGTCAACAATGCTGAAGGTCTAAAACAAGGAAACTATTGTACGATGTCTCCAGAAAGAAAGATGAAAGGAATGCATGGTGTAGTTGTAGTAAAGGGTCCAAAATGCTCACATTTATTTTGGTTTTAGTATGGAGGCCAATGACCACAATACTGTATAAAACTGAAACATGAATCTAACTTTCAGACAGATGTTACATCATATATTGACCATGAAATAGTAATTAAGATGAACCATTTAGTTATCTGGCTTGTCCAGAACCTAAAGTTGGATTAAACACAATGTGGGAGAGAAGGGCAGGCACTTTGGGAGATATAAGTTACCAGCTGCCTGAAAGCTGACTTTATTCCCATGGCATGATGTTCTACATTTTTTGGTAGGGCTTTAGCTAGGGAAAGTGTATTTAGGAAAATCTGGTGACTACTAGAGAAATTACATGTCATTATAGTCCCTTATTGATTTAAGTGGCAGATTTTATCAACATTCTACTTCTGTTTTAATCATGTTGAGAAGTAAATATAGAACATATGGTACCCAGGGGCCAAGTTCTACTCTTACTTAACCTGGAGTTATTCTCTTGACTTGAAGGAATTAATCTGGATTTAGTATAGTTGAAATAAGAGCAGGAGGTAGCCCTATATCTTGTCTTTATCTGCATAGCTATCTACATAGCTTCTGAGCAACGTAAGGGTATGTCTATGCTGCAAGCTTCTTCCTGAAAAGCTTATTTTGAAATAGAGCATCCACACTACACAGAAACCTCAAAATTAGCCTGAGGCAGGCTCCCCTAATGTGGATGCGCTAGCTTGACTTAGAGCCCCAGAAGGCAGTGGGGAGGAATATCTTTACAGTGACCCTGGTGAGGAGCTATTTCGATATAGCAGAAGTGGAGCATCTACACACACCCTCTTCCAAAAAAGCTTTTTCGGAAAAAGGTTTATTCCTCGAGGAATGAGATTTACCACCATTGGAAAAAGCCATCCATTATTTCGACTTTCTGTTGAAATAACGCAATTGCACTGTGGACGCTAGTATTGTTTTTCTGGAATAACGGACGTTATTTTAAAAAAAAGGTACAATGTAGATGTACCTTAAGACTGGTGGACTCGTCTCTTTTGGCTGAGAAAGCACAGAACTGTGGCTCGGCCAGGAATGATGGTTTGAGAGCAGATTTTCATGGTCATTAGGCATTAAGGCAGCATTAAAAATCACATTAGGCACCTATCTATCCCTGTAGGTGCCAAAAGCCTTTATAAGTCTGGCCCTTAGATCTGAAAATGTGGTACCCACATATTCCAACAAAGAAACAGGGGAACATCAGTGTTCTTTCATATCAGTAATGGCTGTTGTCATCTAGAGCTACTTTCTGCTCCCTGTTACACCAGTTAAAGCCTCCAGAGTAGCTCCATTAATATTTTGGGGCTGTACTGTGAAAAGACAATTTTCAAAAACACGGGGTCCAATTTTCATTTACACTAAAAAGTCTCTTTAGACTATTCTGGGACCACTTTAACACTCCTTTATGTTGCCACAGATATGTCAGTGAGTCTTAGGGTATGTTTACACAACAAAGTTATTTTGAAATAACAGCTGTTATTTTGAAATAACTTTACCAGCATCTACACAGCCAAACTGCTATTTCGAAATTAATTTGAAATAGCGGAGGGCTTATTTTGGAATTGGTAAACCTCATTCCATGAGGAATAGCACCAATTTTGAAATTGCTATTTCGAAATAAGCGCTGTGTAGATGCTTATTTTGAAATCGGGAGCCTCCAGCCCTTCCCAGGGTGCCCTGGCGGCCACTCTGGGCACAACCAAGAAAACTCCTCTCCCTCCCCCTTTCCCCGAAGCCCTTAAAGGGGTAGACTCTGGTCACAGTGCCTGTGCCAGCTCCAAGCCTGCCAGCCCAGAGCCAGCAGTTGCTGCACCTGATCCAGTGGCCACAGCATGAGCCAGGCAGCAAGTGCCAGTCAGCCATCCACTGTTCCCCAGGACCAGTCTGCCAACTCCCAGGAGCCTGCCAGGGGCTGGAAAAGGCGGGCGCCTGCCTGGTCCAGTGTGGAGACCAAGGACATAATTCAGGTTTGGGGGGTTGCCTCCAACGTCCATGATCTCTGCACTAAATGGAGGAACACAACCTTCTACAGGTGGATGGCTGACAGCCTAGCCCCCAAAGGCCACATGTGAAGCCAGGAGCAGGTTCACATGAAAATAAAGGAGCTGTGGCAGGCGTATGCCAGGGCCACAGGGGGCAGCTCCCAACCAGGGGCAGACCCAGACCCCTGCCCCTATTATGATGCTGTGGACTGCATCTTGGGGGATATGACGATCTGTGCCCCCCAGGTGGTCATCGACCCTGGGGCAGAGCTAGCTGCCTCCTGCTGCTCCAGCCCCTGCTGCCTCCCCAGCTACCACTCCTCCCACTCCTTCTCCCCCTCTTGCTTCTTTCTCCCCACTCTCCCCACGTCCCCAGGGACACCGAGGCCCCCGCACCTGCGGTGCAGGGAGACAGTTGGGCCGGCGAGACTCCCAACCCTGAGCTTCCCCTCCCCTTTCCTCCACTTGCCTCCTCCTGTCAGCTCCCTCCTCCCAGGTTTCCCCCTCCCCTCTTCCACCCTCTCTCTTCCCCTCTCCTACCTCCTTTTCCCAGTCTCTCCAGAGGTTACGCCCCCCCCTCCAGTTTTGTTAAATAGAGTTTCTATTTTTGAACACACATGTCCTTTATTTTTTACATCAGGAAGTGGGGCTAGAGAGGGGTAATTGGAAGGAGATGAGGGAGGAACAGGGCACGAGCCCCCAATGGGGAGGACTGGGGTGGCTCTGCCAGCTCCTCGGGGTGGAAGCTCTCCTGCAGGGCTTCCTGGATCCTGACAGTCCCCCGATTGACCTTCCCAGATGGCAGCCTGCAGCAAGTGCAGCAGGGCTGATGGCTGAGTGCTGTGATGTGCCGAATGTGGGCACTCAAGGCACTCCAAGACAGTACTGCTTTGCTTTCCCTCATCGAGTTAGACAAGCAAGCGGGGAACCCTGAGAACTGTTCGTCCGGGGCGGGGGTTGGGTCCCTTTAAGCACAGCCCTCGGCTAGCCTGAGGCAGCAGCTCCACACTAAGTCCTAACCTGATGCCCTGCTGTCACTTGTTCCGGCCAGCCTTAACTGCGGTTCAGGGTCCACTCAATGTGAACATGCTATTTCGAATTAGCCCACACAAGGTAACTCCTGCCAGTACCAGGGAAAAGATGGTATTAAGAATGAATATAATTTATTAAAATACTTTTGCTGTGCTATTGAGTATTGGGGAGTTCATTTGAATATGAACTAATGTTAATAGTTTCTCAAATCCTACCATCTTACTCCAGCTTCGCATATCATTTATCTTTGATAAAATGCTCACAGGCACTTAAGAGGGATGGATTTTTTTAAAAAGTGTTTAAGTCCTTAAAGATGCCAGTTAATATCTGGTGGGATTTTCAAAAGTGTTGAAGCAGGTTAGGTGCCTAACTCCCATTGGTTTCAAGTTGGACTTACATGCCAAGCTTTCTTAAGTATTTCTGAAAATTCTACTAGGGTTTATTTGTATATGTTGTCCCCCACAAACCTTTAAAAATCTGGCCTTAAGAACTGAAGTCACTTTTAAAACTGGAACAACAGCTCCTAAATCACTTAGGAGCTTTTGCAAATTTGACGCTAAGTCTGATAGTTTCTCCAGATAACTTTTATGGTCCTGGCAAATTTTTGTTTGTTTGTTTGTTTGTTTGGCAAAAGCAGGAAATAAGTGATGTCAACAACAGCATGTGATTCAGTTTTGCTGGGAAGGAGACCCACTGGGGAGGTACAAATGTTAATTTTATTTTAAGCCTTGTGAACTATTGAAGTTGTACATAGTTAACATTCAATGACACATACAAATGTTTTAATAAATTACACGACTCCCACACTTTAAGATCCAGTATATACCTAACTGTCAGGGGCAGTGACACTTTGGCACGACCGTCCAAACATATTTTTCTTAGCCCATTTCATAGACTGATGATGACAGAGAAAAATGTTTAATTCCTGCCATTATTTATTTAAAAGTTCAGTGAAAAAAAGTGGACTCATTTTATATAGTCCTTTCACCCTGAAAATCTTCTCCTATTCCTTAGCACCAAATCTGCTTCCAAATACTTTCCATTATCAAAAACCTGTGATATTTTTGAAATTATACAATAAATATATATAATGCCAAATAATCCTTGGGTATATATTTGCTCTTTATTTTATAGTCGTTCCATACGGAAATTAGCAGATCAAATTTTCACTCAGCAGGAGAATATGTACGTGCATGTTAAAAGTAAGATTGAATGTCTGCTTGGTCTTGAGTAAGGGTGTGGTGCACAACTGCTCAAGAAATTATGATTTAGACAGCTCTTAAGAGTCACAATTCCTCTGGTTCTCTTGTTGTACAAACAGGGGAATATGCTGTGCAGATCCTATACCAGATGTTGCACATGAGCCCTTTAAGTCCCAGGAGCTCTGCTGGCTGACACTTTAAGGAGAGAAGCAGGGATGGAGCCACTACCTATTTCCCACACCCTCACGAGGAGCATTTAGGGTACGTCTACACTATACGCTTATTTAAAAATAAGCTATTCCAGAAGAAATACTCAGAAATAGCTTATTTTGAAATAGCAAGTCTACACTAAAGGGAAGCCTCCAAATTAGTCTGAGGCAGGCTTCCCTAATGTGGACATGCTACCTCGATTTAGAGCCCCAGGAGGCACTAGGGAGTAATTACTTTGAATGGCCCTGGGGAAGAGCTATTTAAAAATAGCAGCAGTGGAGCATCCATACTACTGCTCTTCTGAAATAGCTATTTTGGAATAGGTGTTATTCCTTGTGGAATGAGGTTTACAGAAGTCAGTATAAGCCGTCTGTTATTTCAAATTTATTTTGAAACAACGGAATTGCTGTGTAGATGCTTGCATTGTTATTTCAAAATAATGGCTGTTATTCCGAAATAACACTGTTGTGTAGATGCACCCTTAGGCACAGATTTTAAAAGATATTTAGACATTGCTGCTCTTAGAGTTGCATTACCAGAAATCTTATTTTCAAAAGAGATTTAAATCCCGACAAGCCAAAAATCCAAATGACAATCAATGGGATTTAGATTTCTAGATGACTAAATCACTTTAGAAAATGAGACTTAGGTATTGAAACACTGAACAGAGCAACTCTGGTCATCTGAAGAAGTGGGCTGTGCCCACAAAAGCTCATGATACCATCTACATGTTTTATTAGTCTATAAAGTGCTACCAGACCATTTGTTGTTTTTTACCTTTGAAAATGTGGACCCTAACACCTTCTGCTACCAGACTGAAAAGCAGGGATGTCTATGGTGCAGAGGTTTTAGTCTAGTCTTATGGCATTTTCCTTTCACATAGAGTTTCATAGGGTTGCTTCATAATATAGGCCTAAATGAGCAAAATCCCACATTTGCCTGTGTAGCTTGAGTTTTGTGTGTGTAAATCAGGCAACAACATGTGCAAATGGCTATGTGAACATGCAGAATTTTGCCTACATGATGGGATCACATAAATCTTCAATGGTGCTTTGAAAAAGACCGCCCTGTCTGTGTCAGCTGGTAACACATTCATTCAATGAGCATCAAGCTCAGAGACATTGATGCTCAATAGATTGAGGGCTGGCCCTTTAATTTTTCATTTGTGCCATCAAAACTATCAGACTTCAGTGATGAGGACAAGAAAGTATGATTTTTCCCAGCTAAGAAGTTCTGGGTGAATTTAATACTCTATTTTTTTTTCAAAAAAGGCAATATCTGAAGGGAAGATTCAGGTCAATTTATCTGCTCTTTGAGTCTTGCCATGGCTAATTAGCTGTTCCATGCACTACAGCTCTGTATCCCCTGCCATCCATATCAGAAATAGACCATATGTAATTTAATCCCTTGATTGTATTGCTAATGTGTTGTGATAATGAAGTAACAATATTGAATGATACAGAGGTTGTACTGTTAAAATAGTTGCTACTGTCATAGTCTTCTGAGTAAATTGCACAGGAAACTGATTGGAAGACAGTCTTATATCTTCACTTAGTGTAAGAGAGAACTTCCAGTACATTTCCAAACTTCAATTTAGCAAAGGCTCTTTCAGAATTTTGATAATGGATTAAATGGTTTTGAGCACAAAAATATAAAGCATCTCCTCCTACAGACTACAATTTATAACTGTGGCTTACATAGTAGCTTAGTAGTTCACATATGGCTTATGTCAATGGCAGAAACCATGTTATTTTCTAAATCACATTGATTTGTTATGTGGTACTGAAAGATCTTAAACAGAATCATTGGCTATAAATTACAGCATCTAGTCTTCTATGTTCTTATCTGTGTTTCAGATCCATCAAAATGAGCCCAGGACTCAAGTCTTCTATGTACACAATGCTACTAGTCAAAGAATCAGAACTAAGACCATTCAATTTCCTCCTTTTTTGGAGTCAGGCCAGGCTGACATTTTCCTTTTTGTTAGTTTTGGCAAAGGGGAAAGAAGGGGAAACTTTACTGTTCTGCTATGGATGTTTTTTTTTTATTTTGTTTTTATTAAAAATGTTGAAACATGGGCCCTGTGTCAAAATTATTTTATTATTGAAGGCTGGGTGGGGTGAATGAATTGGCAACAGTTCAGAAAGCCATTAACAATGCTGATAACAGAGAATCCTATTCAGCCTTTACAGTGCAGCAATGTTTAATTGCAATAAATTTTACCACAATCTGGTGACTGATGTGCACAGTTAATGAATCGGTACCGATTCAAAGGTTAATCTGCTGGGAGGTAACAAGCTCTGCCCATCTGATACTATAACCAAAATATGATATTTGTTAGTTACATGATGATATTTTTTGGGCACGAAACAGAGAGAATGAGTTTTTGTTGGCTGCAGATTTGTTAGGTCTCCAAGACCAAAACATTGAAAAAAGCAGTAATCCTAATGGTGATTCTTGAACCAAGTACAAAACATAAGTATATTAGAGATGAAATATGATTCCCTGAATAAAATGGATTGTTCAACATCAAAGAACTTACATGAGAAACAGAGTGTTCCATGAATAAAGCTTGCACACGTGTCAAAAAGCCCTCACTCCCCAACCAGTCTCTCTTATTAGTCCCCTAGCTATTTATAAACAAGTAATGGGCAGAATTTTCTTTTAGGGACCACAGGGGCAAACTAGTTAACCTGAAAGTGTGAAACTATGAATGTGAAGACCTTTACTGATTAGCAGTATTATAACCCCTCCAAACCCAACATTTGAGAGCAATGGTGAAGGCAAGGAATGTGACTAAAAGGAGTAAGTTGTTATTCTCAGATGCTGGTGACCTGCAGTTAATTTCCTACTCTGCCACACACTTCTTGTGTGACCTTTGGCACATCTCTTAGCCTCTCTAGGGGTATGTCTACACTATAGCCTTATTTCGAAATAAGTTATTTCGAAATAGCTTTTTTCGAAATAATGCGTCTACACACAAAATGCATTTTGAAATAGCATTTTGCTATTTTGAAATAGCACGTCCACACTGAGTGGATGCTGAATCGCATTTAAGGCCGGCCGGACCCAAGTCTGGCGGAGTATCAGGTCAGGTGTGTCTTTGTGTGGCTGCTGCCTGAGGCGATCTGAAGCCTGTGCTTAAAGGGACCCCCCATGGACAGCAGGTTCTCAGGTTTCCCTGCTTGCTTGCTTGCCTACCTCGGTGAGGGACAGCAAAGCATTTTGTCTCGGTGTGCTCTGGATGCCCTCACTTGGGACACCACAGCACTTTGCAACATGGAGACTGAGCTGCTCCTGGGCACTCTGGTGCTTCTCTTGGATGCGTTGCTGCAAGCCTGGCTGCACTTGCTGCAGGCTGCCATCCAGGAGGTCCATCGGGGGGCTGTCATATCCAAGAGGCCCTGCGGGAGAGCTTCCACCCTGAGGAGCACTAACAGTCTCCCTGGTCTGCCCCATTGGGGGATTGTGCCTCATTCCTCCCTCACATCCTTCCACTTACCCCCCTTCCTGATGTAAAATAAAATACATGTTTTTTCATAAACACAAACTGTCCT